ATTACCTTCCTCTTTAGCCAATAGGGTGTCGTGATTTTTTAAAACCATGCATGCATCAAGATTATGAATGCACGTGAGCGGTGCCACCTAGGTTATGGCATCTCGAATTATTCTATCGACCTTTTTTCTTGCCACGTTAGGCCTGCAAATGGTGTTTTCGCAGTGGTTGGCAAACTATTCCTAGCCTTGAGTGCAAACTGAAAAGTAAGGTACAGATCTCATGCTAATTTGAAATTGCTAAATAATAATGACTTCTACTAAACACTGAATGAAAATTCCTCACTTTTAGCACTAAGGAAATTGTGCGCTTCCAGGGGAAATTGGTGCGAACCACGGGGTGAACTTACTGCCATCTTTGGCCGCCCATTTAAAATGGCGGTCAGTGTTTGTAAACAAAAGAGAGGTCTGTACATTAATCAGGGAAAGAGAATAGCTAGTGCATCCTTGTCTTATGATCTCTGATACCAGGTCAACTTAATTTGAATAATTTACATGTGTACAATTGGCAGCTCGTTCTGTAAAGTATATGTCAGAGGTAAGCCATTCAGACGACATGGATTGCATAGTAAGCTTTTTGCGAGTTCAATTGAATAAAATCTGGTACACAGAGTTACCTGACTGCCCATAAACACAATTTGAATTCCCCAGACTGAAGACACAGTTGCTATACCTCGTGATTTGGGGCAAGCTTTTGCATAGCGACCACCATCTCTGGAATGGACTGGTTCCTTTGTGCCCTTCTTATCCATTGAGAACAGTGTATTGTTGCAAGGCATCTCTTATGTAACTAAGCAAAAGCTTGCCCCGAATCACAAGGTGTAGCAATCGTACACGTGTCTTTGATGTGGAGAATTTGAATCATGTTTATGTCAATTTAAAGAACTCAAGAAATCTGTACCAGATTTAATTTAAATTTAACTCGCAAAAGGCGTCTTGTTGTATGGCCCGTGATGTAACTACATGCAGAACACCTGTCCAGGGGCCCCAGTAGATACATGTAGTGCTTGCTCTAGTGCCCATAAATATTTTGAAATGAACTCGAAGTATATACACACTGCATTTCAATTGTTTTCAGGGCCTCTCCAAAAAGGTTGCATCCTGAAGTCCCGCCCCCCCTTTCCCCAGTTCCCACCAGTCACTGTGTACAGCCCATCAACCACAAATTTCAGAACCCTAGGGTCATTCCTGTCATCAGACATGTCCATATGTGTCAGATTCTGAGTTTAGGTTTTGCTGCAGGATGAATGCTGGCATGTAGCCACAAATAATCTGAACCAGTGAAAGCTCTCATCTTACACTGTAGCCAGAATCACTGCACACCGGGGAAATGTGAATAGTCGTGGCCATTTCTGTATTCTTGGGGCTATGGCTACTGCCATGGATGGTGTGCGTGCCAAGGCAAGCCACATTCCTATAGATGTTTTTGTTAACACTAGCCACAAATGAATAATTTGGACAGAATTACCCAACTGTTGGTTTTCTGTTTTTGTTTTGTCAGTTTTGACTGAAAGAGGCTACTTCGGCACATCGTCCATGATTGTCTTTGTTTGAGACTTATGTCGGGTTTTGGCACAATTCTGCCTTAAAATACAATATAATTGTAAACAATGACTCTTTTGAAACATGGAATAAAAATCACTTGATAATTTTATGCTGTTGTCGGGGAAATTGTTTATGTAGCCCTTAATTAGTGAGCTGCTACCGAATGCCTTGTGAATGTTGCCAATTGCCTTATTGCATCATCTCAAAACATTCTTCTTCTCACAAGCTTTCTCACTATGAATGCACAATTGAGTTTTTCATTTTTCCACCTAGACCGGCGCCTCTGAATGCTTTGCAGATATAGTGCGCCTTATAAATGCTTTATTATTATTATTATCTGGATTGCACACAAAACACACGGTAACGGTTGTAAGAACATCCAACCAACAAATATAGGAAGCTCGTTCACAGATCCGTAGTTTATATTATTGTGATTGGTTGGGACCTAGTTGATAACAAGGATGGATACAGAACCAAATTTGGGGAGGTAGCCAAACTTTTTTTGGGGGGGGGAGTTGTAAATTTTTGTCCTGTAACCATTGCCTTCCGTGTGATCTGCCCTTGTTGATTATTGTGAACATTTATTTATTGCTTTTGGTAATCTCATATTTATGGGATGGCTAATTATCAAGCAGGAATTAATGCTTCTACCAGCCAGAAGCATTAATTGACTTGGCAAAGATCAATGTGCAGCCACAGATTTATGCTGAGAGCAATCACCGGATACATTTTCAAATTAAAAAGAAAAACAGGTGTGATTTTCTAATATTAAAAACATTTACAGATCCAGCAAGTTTTTCACCCATCTGCAATAAAGTTTTTTCCTACCATCGATATATCACTGTTAACATGGAACAACAGCATTTTAAACTCTCCTCATTGCTACTGTGAACTACATTTTACTTCACTGACGTGATACAGTGGAGGTATTCATTGATAAACAGACAGAGGGTTTAAACCTTTCTGTAATTTGGACAAAAGGTGAAGTGAGTGAGACACTGACAGTCAAAACACATTCATAAATACATGAAACAAAGTACAGTGCACTTATTGGTTTATTATCTCAGTGGCTTTGTGTTCATGTTAAAATGTTAGAACACATTACAAATTCATTTCGTTTTACAACAGCCACCATGTGGCAGGTATCTGAGGCAAGGCCACTCAGGCTGCTGCATTTTGGGAAAATTAGGATCATGCTGAGATATCTTTTGACATTGGCCTTTCCAGTGAAATGATTAATTAATATGATGTATACAATCTGTTGTCCTCTAATAATGCATTAATTACAGTAAGAATACATGCAAAACAGTAATAGGGTTTTACATAGAAACTAAAAGTTGCAACAGGAAAGTGTTAAATTCTTAGTTGTGGCGATCCCAACATAGACTTTGATTGATTAATACCTGATACAAAATTTCTTATTTCAATTTGATCATTTTTTGAAACATCAAATTTAAAGAAGGTTTGTTTTTTTACAAAGATACATTGATGTTGGGACATATAAGGAACAGCTGCAGTTGTGGCAAAACCTTTCAGGAATCATGGCTTTGCAAAACTTTTCTTAAGGTTTGTGGTATTTTTTTTTCACCTAGCTGGAGCAATGAAAGATCTAAGGTGCTCTCCACTGACACATCGCCAGTCTTTATCATCAGGCAAAATACAGCTAATCAAATCATGCCAACTAGGGTTGGGTTATGAGTCACCAAATTTTTCACCAAAAACTCCACCATGGTTTGCACAGGCCTATAAACATGTAAACTGAGGTGAACACTAACAGAAAAAGAGCACTGGGTCCCACAGAACATCTCTGGGAGCCTGTCCGTTTTGAAGTGAGTGCACTTAATTTCTTCAAAGTCTGTAAAACTCGAGACCAAGTCATGCTCAGTTCTTAGGGGTGTGGAACATGTACAGCACAGACTGGTCACCATCACTACGCATGTCCATATACCTTGGCTTATGGCAAACTGGATTTTGTATGGATTCTTCTTTTTCTGTTCAGTTTTTTAAAACCCTATTATACCTAAAAGGGTCATTTCTGGCTTTCCTGCACTCATTTTACGGCAATTTGATCCAATAGTGACCACCCTACCTTATTTGGACAAAAAAGTTTCCCTTGCTATCAAACAAGCTCTATAATACAGATTCAGGACAATTCCCCTGAAAAATTCTTTTCATTTATTTCGGAGGGGAAAAAAATCAGAAAATTTCTGTACAGTGACCGACAATAACACACTGAGCAGTGTGAAAACACGGCCTCCTTTACAAGTTGCCAACTTACCATTTGGATTAAAATAAACTCTACAGTGATTACAGTTGATTTTTGTTTTTAGATTGGTGAAATCTACTCTCTCCTGTATTCTACTTTCTTCAAAAGAAAACTTTAAGAGTTCAAATTGTTAAGTTGTTGCAAAAATTACAGTGTACAAATCATCAGGAACAACCAGATCCAAGGTAAAGGACAAGAACAAACAGGGTGTCTACATAAAAAGTATACCGAGTTAAACATTACATAAATACATAAATATGTCAGATGTACATTGACAGGAATGGTTGCCATGTGGAGGGCACAGCACAAACGTATGAGGTAAGAAGCAAAAACAAAGCAGATTAGATTGATTTAGGTACATTCCCTGTTTTCAAGAATGCAAAGGCATTAGGTATTCTGCACACTTGCACGGTTGAGTCTTGTTAAAAAAATGTGCAAACCTGTCACAGTGCCGATTTCAGTATACTTAACATTGGTCTAGTTTGTTCACCCATCGGTGCCAATTACATCACAAGCTGTATACCACTGCAGAGAGGACATTCTGCCCTTTCTAGAGATATATTTCTCTTTCCCATATATGAAGTAGTTTTACCAAAACAGTAATTTTTATCTCGGTACACTTTATGTGGATACCCTGTCCGTATAGAAAAAAAACCTGGTTAAGTTAAACTACCTGCTGACTTGAAGCAAAACATTTTGTTCCTTACGACATACCACTGTCTGAGTAGACACCATTGGCACTTGTGCAAGTACATGTACATAGTTACCAGTGATATAATCACAGAATTGTGGCACTTTGTAAATGGTCTTCGGCTGGACTTTGTTTAAGGCAGAAGGCTCCTGAAAGCCTGTATTCATACCTGGCAGTTTTTTGAAAACTCTAGCCTGGCACCATTTGTAGGCCCTTTAATGTCCAAGTGAAATTAAAGAACTCCTGTTTAGAGTTTGATGTCAACCAGTTTGATGTTCCCATAGTGGGAAGATACTTGCAATGCTATAGACCTGCTGAAGTCAGTAACCTTGTTCAGGCCTAGGGCTGAAACCAGCAATACAGACGACTCTCATTTTACCAGCAACTTATTATATTCGCGGCTAGAGGTTGAAGAAAAATCAGCCTTTGTTTGGTTTTTGATTTTACCTAAGAATTATTCAAAATGTGAATTAGTCTGACTGATTTCAAAGAGGGTTGTATTTTCATTTCATTTATTACTTGGTTGTACATTATTTTCTGGTTTTTTAATAGCTGTGTGGGATTTTAAACACTTTGTGAATAATTCTTGTAATATTGCAACGACAGCCAGCCATAGTTTTTGCAGCCACTTACAGGGAAACGTGACTGTGATGTCAAAAAAGCAGACCCTATAAAACATGTTAAAGAAATGGCCCAGTACTCTGCCACAACTTATCAAACAAGCTCAGCTTTCCGGCCTGGTTGCCATCCCATAATAGAGGGCACGATTGAAAAACAGAGAAATTATTTACTGCCGAGTCTGTCACCTGCATTGAAAAAACCCGAACAAAAACCATAAGATGTGGAACATACAAGCAAAATGAACACATATTCAGATCTACACGTACAATTACACGTCACATGGCAACCAAAATGAAATCTTCATCAAATGGGTTCATCACTTGTGTACTGAATAAAGATGTTATTTTGAATACAAAAGATTAGACTGAAAAGCATAAAGTAAGCAAGCATTTGCAATTCTGTGGATCAAACACAATTCCATACAATATATGAAAAACTATAAGTCGAGGAAAATGCTAAAAATGGACTGCAAAGTTACACTTGTACACATCTGTGGCCCTCATGGTCTGGAGAAGCCAAGCAACCAGACGGACAATCATTTCTTTTAAACACACTGCACCACCACATGTATAAATGAGCAGCCCACGTAGCAGGACACCATCAGAAAATAATTGATATCCACAAAGCTAAGCGAGATTCCATTCACATAACAGTTCTGCAGCTCTCCACGAGTTCAGCTAGAATATTTGCGTGTTCCTCAGGCTCTAAAGATCATGTGAGCTTGTGTGATAACACCAACAGTGAAGAAGAACTGACTAACTCAAGGATAACTATGGATCTAGTGGACTGCGCAGCCACTTTGTGGCTCACTAATACAGAGAAGTGCTCCTAAATGATGCGGGGGCGGGGAGGAGGGGTTTGTCACATTCAGTCCAGCTGAAGTTTTTTTACGACCAGAGGTCCGATTTTCCGCTTGATAGAAAAACATGTACATGTACAAATTAAGAAAATGGTCTTAATGCGACCAGTAATCAAATTGTGGGCTTCAGTGACTCAAAGTCCTGTACTATCAATACTTCTACAGCCGAAAGGATTGAATATACACGTGACATCAATAACCTCTGAAATGTTTAAATGCAATTAAATGCATGCATCAGATTATGTATGACAACCATGGTGTTAAAGGTGAGTATTTAACTGAATATTCAAACTTTATTACAGGAGTCTATACAGTTGATAAGGCATTTTTTCCCAAGATATACAGAAATTGCATCATTACTCGACAGTAACAGAACAATACAACTAGAGTTTGTAAGACACAACATAAGCACGCATGCACAGGGGTGGAATAAGTTCTTATTTGAAGTTTGAAATATCACTATGTCACTAAACTGCGACAACTTGACTCACATGTGGTTAACATGATACAAATATTTAGTGCAATGCAATATTTGTTGAAATTATGACAAATCGTGCCAAGAGAGGGCGCTGTCCTGCCTCTCTAGCAGAGAAGACATGCTGAAACACCAGATACCAAGTACATGTAAGCCTTCGGTATGTTAAGTGTATTGCTCATTTGTCTCGTTGACAGTGCATGTTGAGGTGATATGAAATGAGCACAGCTGAGCTTATAACGGGTCTTGGTACTGTTCTTGGTCTGTGCTGTTTTCAAACACATATTGAATTATACCAGTTGGAGTCTCCAGCAAGCATCCATGCAATGTAAGCTACGGTAACTACATTAATTCCTTTTTGGCACTTTCACATCAGCTGTGACACATGTACATGCATCAAGGGTTTGCTGAAACCAACAGCAGTATTACACAGTACAGCGACGCAGTCAGTCAAGTACTTTTATTTTTGAGCAATAGTTTACAAACGTCAAGAACAACTAACAACAAAGAGTTCTGGGCGCAGGACAAAGTATTCCTCTCGATTCAAGTTGATCTGTAAAATCATCCCACCTACAGAAGTACCATTCACATACATTGAACAATCTTTAAAATTTGGAAGACATGCCTTAAATGATCTCATGTTTCACAATTTACAATTTCCTACTTCACTATTCACTGATACAAATCTTTTAGAGCCAAAAACAAACAGCAAAGGCATCCGAAGGCTTTTTTCTGAATTTTTTACAGACACAAATAGGCAAGTGGCGTAACATACGTTTGTAATGTTGCAGAGGAAAGTAAAATCATAGTGCATAATGTTCCAAGACTTTCAGACCAAGATGGGCCCACTCTCTGTTCAGAGTCCAAAAGAAAAGACGGTGAGATAAACATGAGGTGATAGCAATGTCCCATAAAAAGTGACACTTGAAGACGACCCGTCATTTCATCTTTCTTTTTCTGCTTTTTGCTCCTAAGTAAATGCCGCTCTTGACAAGCTCTTTTCTCATCTGAGAGCAGGATTTTTCTCTTTGTTGTAGACAAGTAACGGCAGCGACATCAGCTACTCCAAGAGCATTTCTGGCAAGAATGGCAAATATGCCTACACATCTGCATGCCACATGGAACTTGTATCAAGTCCTCTTCACCTTAACAAAATAATAACCTCTGCCCTTTACCCTGAAAGGCGGCTGGTGCTCTGATGGTGAGAACCAACCAAGTAAGCTTGCATCCTGTACCTCTCATAAAAATGTGCATGTACCACTCGGAACAATTTTCCCAATCAACAGTCACACCTGTACTTGAAACAAACAAGGAAAAAAAATGTGCAGATTCAAACTAGAGGGCATGATACTGAATGTGATTAAACAATACATACGGTCAGTACGAGGTAACCATGGCATTATGATCTGCAATGCTTTCAAATACTGCAAGACTAGATCAGCATTACATTGCTATTTAATACACGTAATAATTCCCTTTTTAACAGTATGACGATGCTTGGCAGCCTAAATGTACACTTCCACAGCAGCCATTTTGCAGGGTAGCTAACTTTCCCACTGGGATATACATGTATATCAGCATAAACCCTTTTTTGCTAAGACTATCTTTGAACTTGTTTACGAGGCAAGTCACTCGTGCCATTTTTCCGGGATAATTCAGTTTTTTTCCCCCCCTCATACCAGTTGGCAGGCCTCAAGTCCAACCTAAGTTGAGTTCACAGTGCAGCCAATGCTACTGGTAGATCAAAATGTACGACCGACAACAGTCAGGCACATCAGACAACATCTGTGAAAGGGAAAACAAAATACTGCAATTTGTCACTTGCAGTCAACCAGAGAAATTCAACTTGCTCATGGAAGCTCTAGAAACCACAGGCATGAACTCTCCTGTGCCGATATGGGTCTTCTGAGGAAAATCTGTACATGCAAGGCCACGCCTGCTCATGCTGCTAGGCGAACCTTTACTGAACCATGTCCATTTGTGGCACACTGCCGGTGGCCCTGACACATTTCTTCACCCCTGAATCACTAACAGCAAGCAACTAAATATTTAAATTAAAGGACAAATGTACCATGTGGAAACTACGATATCCACACAACCTACATCTGACTGTTTTTAATATGAATCGTGATTTGTAAGGCATCGATAGGCCGTCCATCACTCTGCGAGCCCCATCCCTGATGTCACAGCCTGCATTTCCGTCTCGACAGGAAAAGTGTTAATGCACTGACTCGAGAAGATGAAGATCCCTAAAGCTGGGTTGGATTCCAGTTTTTAATATCCCTAAGTAGGGATTGAGGTCCTCTCCTTTGGGAGTAATGCCTTTTCTACACTTTTGTACCTGCAGACGACGGCGTGCTATAGGGTATAGATTTGGTAGAATCTGGCAGGTGATACGGGAGACATTGATTGGTGCATTTCTGCTCATGTAAAGCCTAAATGTACCTTTAACTGGGGGCCGCTAAATCCAAAGCTTTCTTCCTCTCAATGGCATCGAAGTACCACACGGTGATAGCATACCTGAAGGCAGAGATATTAAGCTGATGAAGTTGAGCAGAGAAACTAAGCATACGTTTCACGATTGGTAATCCAATATCTTAAGTCTGCTTCTGGGTACCACAAGTAAAAATCTGCTTTGTGTCGACCTGAGGAGACAAAGATAAGAGCTACACTGTACGTTTGGGGGGAGGGAGTTGAAATTGGCCAGAAAATGATAACGTACATGTACACAGAGGCCAAACCCACGCAGACACATCAGAGAAATCCGCTCAGAAGAACAAGATTGCCGCGAGGCACAGCTGTCTGGTTTCAATGATGATGGGGAGGGCCTTCCCAATGCAGATTCATAATTTGCATTCTCCGCAAATCCTACAAGGTACATGTACCAGTGGGTCGGCCTAGGATTTGTCTCACAATAAGATGCTGAGCTCTGAACACCAACAAGCTTTGATAGATACAAGGAGGTCTTCCTTAGGGTTTCAAAACAAATGCGATACATGTCCATTTGGAAACATGGACATAAAAAGGGCACTCCATTTCAATATTTCCAAGCATTTACTCCAAAGACAGAGCCCTCTTAAATTCTCCCAACCTCACAACTCTGCAGAAATTTACGTGGCAATGGAGTTGGAAGCTTAAATAAGTTGTGACCCTGAAGATGAAGGAAACCATTCTAAAAGTTTCATCTAATTTAAGTCTGCCAGCTAACCATTTTTCTGGAACTTTGAAAACGTGGTTAAAAACTACGCTCTTAAATATACAGTACACACTGACAACCTATGCAGGCCAATTTGTGACCCTTCAAATTTACCAAGTACTAGTATTCCCCCCCCTCCTTCAAATGTCCAAGGACTGGCGATGAAACCTACCTGGTGCTGAAGGCCGGCATGACTTCATGAGGATTCCTCCGATCTGACCAGAAGAAGATTAATCGGTTGAAGATGGGATCTACACTGGCCATTCTATCCTCACCACGAGGATACAACCTCAGGGTTCCACCCATGGTCTAAAATTTGAGAAAAAAATACATCTTATGATTGCTACATGTTCCTAAATTTAATATGAAGGTTGACCTCCATGTCATCACATGTATCCTCTCTAACTCACACATATGTATACTTGTGGGGTATTTCCTTTGTTCATGGACAAAATTTCAAATCACTGCCATTTCAACCAAATTCAGTTTCCTGGGTTGAAATTTCGACCGTATGTCCCTTATATAAAACACTTCAATTTGCGACGGATGAATGGCACTTGACAATTCCTCCTTTTTGAGTAAATTTGAAATATCCATTTCGTGAAATTCTTGTGGGGTACCACTTTAGTACCCCACAAGGGTCAAAACTGGCCTGTGGGGTACTTTCCATTGTTCCAGTACCCCTTAAGGCACCATGTACAAGCGCTTGGTGCACTGATGCTCAACACATATACATGTACATGTACCAGCAGCTACCAGATGATAAAAGAGTCACCACATACATAAAAAGTACTTTCAGAAATGTCAAATGTTCACACAATAAACAAACTAGAGCAACCTTCCATCATCTGATTCATTTCAAGTCTTGATTAACTTTTGCATCCTATGTTGCCCTTCAAGCAGACAGCTGGCATGTCCGGCTGACCGACCAAAAAGTGTCCTCAAACAAACTTCATTCAAAACTTTGTACATGTATGCTTTAACAAAGATTTAATTAATGGCAAACATATTCAATGCATACAGAAATACTGTAATTTACAGGGAAGACAACAGACATATTAAATGAATTTCATCAAACAACACCCATGAATTAAGGATTGGACACCTGTGCTGTGGTTTTATCATTTACACCAATTAAATGAAGTAGGAAGGATTTAAGGATTTTAAGTGGGAACTACCTATTTGTACTGACACAATGGTATCAATCGTTACTTGGCTGACTTATAATGAACAAAATGAAGTGATAAGTCTTAAAGATAAACACTTGCTAGACAACAAAGGTATTTTGTTTATGTATTGACTGAAAAAACTTTACATAATAATTAATATCATTTGAATAGTGCTGATAATGTGAAGAATGCACCCGGTACTACCCCCGGAGTGCGGTTAATTTCAAGAAGATGGAGCTTTTTATCAAATTATATTCTCCAATAATGACAAAGCTTGTTTCAACGATTAGAAAACAATGTTCAGCATGTTTTGAATACAAAATCTCGTCTGTTTTGTTTCGTTTCATTTTTAGAGACAATTTAATCAAGCTGTCACAACTGTTGAAAAACAAGACAAGAAAGCGTGAAACAAGCACTGGAATAACAGCAACTAAAAGTATAAACCTCCAAACAACCAAATATGTCCAATTACAGCAGGATTGAATGGCATGACTGTACACTGTACAGTGTAGAGTCTATGTACAAGTACAGGTACAAGAGAACATGTGTAAAAATGGCACAGTACGTGTAATTACAAGTTACTTCAGGATTTCACAGTTTGAAATCCTGAAGTGCACTCTCTAGCTACTCAATATCTAACATGTCCTTGAGTTTCCAAAACTAAATGGTACATTTTGGTTTCATTAGAAAGGCTGCAGCTTTATAAGGGTTTTCAAACATAAACAAATCTTCACTGCCATCCTTTGCTTACATCATACCTTGCGTTGCTTACTTCCCAGGCTCCGGGTCAGCTGCACATGCAACTTTTGATCAAAGTGTAAGGATTCCGACTGACTGAATACAATGTAATTGCCCAAAAGAGGGTTGGTAGTTAACTGATTTGTAACGGCCATTGTACCCTCTTCCATCTGACTGATAGCAAAATCTCACATTTCCAACCCTAATGTTATGTTACACAACATGCAAATCTGTTTTAATACTGTTAGACTTTTGTCTCTGATCTGATGACTTCTGAAGCTTCGCTGCTGCCCACCTTCATCAGCAAAACCCCTGAATTTGAACACCTCAACTCATTAGCCCTGTAACAGTCCTCAATACTCCAATTTAGAAATACACACCTCGGGGGAAGAGGGGGGGGTTAGGGGGTAATGTTCAACAACCCAAAGTACATGTCCATGTGCACAACAGGGACGAATAGATCAGTCGAAAAAGAGCGCACACAGCATAACTGCAGTCACAAGGTCACATCATTTTGTCCTCAATTATCTTTGTTCACGCCGTTCTTGTTGGAGGATTCAATTGAATCGCATGGAAAAGATAACCAGTCTAATTCCATAAGGTCAAAAACCTCAAACATACCGCTTGATTAAAAAGTGAACCCATTAACTGAAGGGGTGTCTTGCATTTTGAGTCAAACCTCATTCAGCTATCGTACTGTACACCCCTTAGAGATTACATGTACATACATTGTGTACACCATGGAAAGGTCATCTTCTGCAGTGTGTCATTCAAAAGCTAAAAACACTATCCGTTTTATGCATGGACTTAACAGTTTTGTCATTTCTTAGCAGGTGCATGATTTCAATTGGAATCTGTTCTCCTGCTTCCAAGAGCATTTGTCTTTGTTTAGTGCCACTGGCACGGTAAACAATCAAAAAGAGAAATATTCAACTGTTGAGTACAGCAAGCAAATGCTTGAAATGAATCCTGCAAATCTTGCTCAGTTTTGCTCTTATTAATAAATGGTGAATAACAACTTAGTGGCATGTAAATATACACATTGGTATCTGTCCTCAAAAGGTCTTGGACTATGAAATGTTGGTGAACAGTGTACTTGAGAATTCCAACTGTCATTTTCATGTCATGCCAAGTGACGCCCGGCACTGTCCCACAAAACAATCACCTCATGGTGCGTCAATGGTGATCATCTCTGTGCGTTGTTAGGGGTAACTCATTTAATATCTGTGCCGCTTATCTGCGCTTGGATGCGATGGGAATGTTGTGCCAAGTGGTCAGTAAACAATGATGCTCACACAGGGAAAAAAGCTGAGTCACTCAACATGATACATGTATCACTGATCAGATCCATCAGAAATGACAATGCACCATACAGGAAATAGGAACACTGACTGGCATTTACATGTACTCTTGGCTTTCACAATGGTACCAGTTTGCCACTGACAGTTTCTGAACAAAAAATCACATGAAGAATGAGACAAAATACATACATGTTGGTACTAAATACCCCTGGAAGAATAGAATAAGAAAACATGCACCATATTCCACTGGGCATCCTCGGAAAAAATTGGGTGCCAAAATAGTAATTTGAGGAAAATATCAACATTTTGGCATTTGTCTATGTATGATGAACATACACGTATTGTACATGTACAGTACGTGTACATGTAAGCTACAGCACATGTACAAATTTATGTACATACATGTTCATTTAGGCCTACCATGTATACCGGTAAGATTTTCAGAGATTCTGCAAAACACAAACATCATAGTGTATTAGTTAAAATTCAGCTTCACATTTATCCATTCAACAAACCTCTGCTTCTACAAATACATGTACATGTATACACGTACATCAAAGCACACATGTTCAGTCCACACCATATGTCACATGACTCGATATCAACATGGCAGCATGAACACTATAAGTCTTCACACTCTCCACATTCCCTAGCCTGTAGGTGCATGTTCAATTACATGTATGTACTGGTTCCACAACATTATGCACAGACTTAATTCTCCTAAGTACACGTACCACATTGAATTGATAAAGTCAGCATCAATTGATAAAAACTATGTACACGAACACTGCACAGTCATGAACACACATGTACATGTACATGTACATGTAGGCACGCTGCGTGCACAACTTTTTTAATGACTCATCTTTTTTTATTGATGCACTCATCGATGTACATGTACTGTACATGTATCCCAGTCTGTGCCTTGCTAAATCACATTTCAATGAACATGTACATATGTACATCTTTTACATCTACATGTGCATGTGCATACATGTACATGTACCTGTATCATATCCACATGTACATCATACATAAAATGGCAATTACAATTTTAAGACACGAAGCCTTTCATCAAAGTCCTTCTAAAAGTAGAAGCCAGTCCCCACCACTGAAGTGAAATAGATTTCCTGGAAACTGCACAGCATGGGTACATGTATACAGCATATACGGGTTATATAAACAGTCCAATCCAACCATGATTGGATCGTGTGCTGATGACAGTGGCTTTGGCAAAGAACCTGTGTTTATGAACAAGTCTCCCAAACCAGGATGCAATGTAAACCAAACAGCGTGCTGAATCTGAAAGGTCCAAAGGGGAGGGGAATTCAGAAAAATCGTGTTGACGTAAGCAGCGACCTTTGACATCTAACTGGGCCCCCATCCTTCAATAATCCACTGGTAGGCTTTGGAGGGTTTGCAGGATTGAAATAAAAGGCACAACCAAGCCACCATCAGTTACGGTAGCATGGGATTCAATGCGCCCTTGGAGGTTAACCCATACACAGAATGCACTGCTGGCTTCTTGCAAAGTTGAGGGATGGAAATATTATTGGGAGGTTCTTAAGAAAAATGCTTTGGTTATTAAGGGGCCACGTCAAAAAAGCAGTCTACTGCTTGTGTGACATAGGTCAAATACCCTTGACAGGTTGTCTGGTTTCTGGTAACAAATGTAATTTCACACACGTGGTGTTACATGACAACTTAGGCTCCTTTTATTAAAATTTGCACAACTTCAATTTCATGTCACAGAAGGCCAAGATTTTAAGCAGAAATACAGACTTTCAGGGGGAAGAACACATTTTGAAAGGCAAGGCTCCAAAAAGAATGCACCTGTGGACAGGGCAATGATTCAGAGTTTAAAAAATGCTTTTGCTTAGCCTTACAGGTTTGTGCACTACCTGTACATGTGGTACAAGTTGTACCAATGAGAGACACATGGGCAGTCAGTCATTAAGGTACCGGTACTTGCAGCAAGAGAACAACATTACGTAAGAACGTTCAGGAGATTGGAGGGGAGTGGACTTCCCCCCCCCCCATTTTTGACTAGTGGGGTTAAGGGGATACCGATAGGTCAAAGGATCATCCAAGACTTTGCAATGAACACCTGCCCCCCCTCCCCGGCCACATACCGGTACATGGATGTTGTCAATACAGAACGTGACAAGTTTTATCTGCCGACTGCATTTACATGTAAACCATCTCATTGTCAGCTCAACAATCTCCAATCAATGCCCTCATTCACTGCTTAAAAACACCCTGATCTTTCAAATACAAGTAATACAGTACAGCCTGGTATGAACAGAATTGGACAGAAGGCAAAATGAGGTAACAGTACGGTGAGGGAAGTAAAAGCAATTTCATGATTCATCATTATTTAACGGCAGCATCACGTATGTCGCTAAGCACATCGGTGCATCCTTTATTAAGCACTTACTACTACTTATTAACCCTTCACTGCATACCAGTACATTGTACATGTAGCTACTGTAATGCTGGTGTACATAAGCAAGCAATAGAGGGATTTCACATTAGCGCCGTCTGCGCATATCTGCATCGAAACCGAGGCTCTCTGTGTTGAACTTCGTTGCGCGCGCCCGCAGAGTCCACACAGTACATGGAGTATCCGGTTCGTAAGTGTGACACCACTTTATTTTAAACCACGCCCACTGCACAAGATACAGGACCATCGCAGGTACGTTAGTTCGCGGTCAATTGTCGTTATTTTTTCTTTTGATTTTACGTGTCGAGTCATCCTGAACGACTCTTCCACAAAAAATTGCAGCCTGAAAAGTCTGAATTTAACACACCGTTATGTATTTTGTGACTTGACTCCTTACTTTCAATCGTTTGATCGTATTAAGAATTGAAGCTGACACATACAGCCTCGTTTTCAAACGTGGAAGTGCGCAGATCGACGCTAAAAGTGTCGTATTGGGATCCCTCTAATGCTATGAAATAAACTCCTGAATTCTTCAGTCTCCACTATATGCCTACAGTCACACATCCACAATGAACAGTGTCCTGTGGCATCACCTTCTCCCTAGATCTGTCTGGTGTCTGCGCTCGTCAGTAAATTCAATGCATGATTCACCAAGGTTAAAGCCATCTAGTCTGAAATCCCCCGAGCCTTCCTCTATTTCAACTATCCTATTTTCGCAGACTTAACATGCTGTGAGGCATTCCACACTCAATTTGCTTATGGAATTTGGGGAGTCTTGTCAGGTACAATTATCAGATGGAAACAAATGACCACAGATGACAAATGACATACCACACAAATGTCTATTCAGTTAGAATGTACAGATTATTTTATATGTAATACATGTATTTACTTTTTTAATTGCAGAACAAAAAATTTGGCTTTTTTTCATTTTGTCATTTGCCTAGCAAAACAGTAATTTCCATCTTCAGAATTACATGTAAGACAATGAAACATTCTTCACCCCTTTTTCATTTACAAGCTCCCAGAAAAGAAAACAGACAGAGCATCGCAGAAAAGAAAAACAAACAAAAGACCAATTGAGGCATGATTTTCAATGAAAAAAAAGGGGGGGGGAATAAATGTACAAATCATTTGCATTTGGCTTCAATTCAGCGGTCATGACTCCCAAATGTCACAGGTGAATGAAAGGTGAACCCAAATCATACCAATGTTGGAACACATGCATGTGTCAGCACCAGCAAATTACAATGGAATGAGGGGCCCACACTGAACATACATGTACATACATGAACATGTACTAATACAATGTATATCAGTCTATCAGTACAAATACGGTACATGTACATGTACATGATGTGTACTACATTGTACCGTGTACTACATTGTACCGGTAGCTATCACTAATTCTTTTTTAAGGAGTGCCCAGAGACATTTCCTGAAACCTGTTTTTAAAGGGGTAAATTCCATATTTCTTCACAGGATGTCGCTTGGATGACTGGATAGAAAACGGCCAATAATATGTATCGGTATGTAGCATCGGAAATTTACATCAGGGTGAGACTTACATGTATCCTTATTAACATCTTGGTGCAAAATTTGCAAGAACTCTATTAATATGTGTGTACCTGTTGCAGGCATTTCAGCAGGAAACCCATCCTAATCCTTCCAAATCCTCCACTACAATCAACTACATGTTATGTACATGTATGTACCAGTATTTGTACAGTGAGTTTCAAGGAGCCTGACACTCTACATAAAGAAAGTTTTACAATGGTTGATCTCTTCCTC